TGTGTGTGTGTGTGTGTGTGTGTGTGTGTGTGTGTGGGTGTGTGGTGGCATGCAGAAATGAACAGTGCACTATCTCAATTCAAAGGAATGAGAAATGTCAGGTTTTAAAGTGTGTTGGTGTCTTTGGTGTTTTCAGGACAAGGAGAGGAGGGGGGAGGGTAAGCAGGAGAGCAAAGCACGAGAAAAGGCCCCCCTGTGCCCCCCCGGCTCCACGCTGTGTCAGCACAGCGGCAGACTCCTGTGCAATAAGGAAACGTTCTCCTGCAACAGTAAGGCCCTCGTAGCGCTGTCTTTCTGACACATGCCAGCTCTCTTACTCTCCTGCTGCATTTCTGCTCTTTCCTTCCTGCTTTTTATTTCACCTCCAGTCTGGGATCACCACTTCCTCTTCTCCGTACTTCGTTATCTCCATGCGTTTTCACACCTTTCATAACACCATCATACTGCTCTGTGTAATAATGCTGTAGTTGTTTACATAGAAGTGGTTAGTCGTGATTAGTAGTGGTTAATAGTCTGGGCAGTCATCAGACAGCAACAGGGTTCTGTGTGGCTTGTGCTTGGTCCTCCTCTGCCTGTATGGTTTTTCACCCACAGTCCACACAGCTGCTGGGCTTGCTGTGGTAGGATCCACTCTGTACTTGTTTGGCCTTTAATAACAGGAACAGAACCAGCAGACCTCTTTAGCACCCCAGCCTTTACAGACAGAGCTGACTGGACAGTATTTGTGGAGTTGCAGACTTGAAGCCTCAAACTGAAGGAAAATACTCAGGGTAAGATGATGGAAGGTATTGCAGGTACAAAGAAGCTGGAAAACTGAGCAAAAGAAAAGGTTAAAGCTGAGTGGGACAGTCCGGAGGAGGCAGCCAAACCTGGGGACAGAACCTGCCAGTTTCTCTGACGGATGATTTTATGCTTGTTTCTTTATGGGTTTAGTTTTTCAATCATCAGCCATAAAAGGCTGATGGAGTACTGTTGTAAGTGTGCGGACGGCATGGATGCACAAGTGTGTGAATGTGATGACTTCAAAACGAGGCGAGGTATGAGTTTGACATTGATACCATAGGTGTATCTGCCTGGAGGCTGAGGGGTAGCACTGACCAGCGCTGGTATTTCTTCTTCCTGTGAGCCGGACTGAAGCCATGGCAGCAGTCACTGCCTTCTGGTTTCTTTGCCTTTCCACGCAGAAGAGAAGAGTGTCAAAGGATGTTGTAGTGTTAAAGAGACGGAAATATCAAGGCTATAGCTGAATAGTCCAAAACTTCCTGTTCCACTTCACGGTGACCTTGATGGAGAAGGTCATGAGGTCAAGGAAGAGTGTTAAGGAGAATTTCCGAGGACCAATGAAGAGAAGCTTAGAGGCTCCAGCTGCACTCAGACTTCCTAAGAGAGTGATGCTGATGATGAGGCTCCTCCTTAGTGAACCCACCACAGTACATCCAGCTATGAAGTGAAATATAGCATGTGTGTCAGAAACGCTGCTGCAGAGATGAGCCACTGTAGCTCCTGACATTATGGCAGCTGTAAGAATAAAGCATTGCATAAATGTATGTGACCTGCCCTCTAAAGTGCTGTGAGGTCAGTAAGACATTAAAGTATGTGAGATGAATGTGGCACCCTGTGTGTGTGTGTGTGTGTGTGGTTGGGGGTGAATACACTAACATAGCTGTTTCTGTGCTGCCTGCAGACTGTGGGGTCCTCGTCAGTGACAGATCCACGGAGAGCCCGTCTGTCTGTGCAAAGAACAGAATAAAGGTAGGTATGGTACACAGACTCATGATGAATGTGTTACCATCAGGAATAACTGTAGATGAACAGCTAAACCACATGTTCTAATTTAGAGGTGAGGTATAAATCCATCATAAATGTATTTTACAAGTCTTCTTTAAGTTTAATCTGTCATGTTTGTCTCTATCAGCAAGCGGCGGTGCCAGAAGGCGTTCCTGGGTCGTCTGTTAACACGAGGAGTAAAAGTAAGAACACATGGAGAACTTTACAGAGGAGACACAGGGGAGCGAATCAACTAAAGCTAAAGACACTTTCAAAGAATCCTTTATATCAATCCGTCTAAAAATTCCCAGTTTCCCTCAGATTTGACTGGTAATTTTATCTGTATATGTCCTAGTGACCATTAAAATAAAGCTGTGGGTCTCAAATCATTCATTTAGATACAGGTGCTTTAAAATAACTGCACAGCTGTGTTACTAAGAAAGCTGCTGAGTTTGAATCTATTCCACCACTCCCATGATCAGCAGAAGCCCATTAGCAAAAGAAGAGAGGTTTCCACGTTCTGTCGGTGCCGCACAAACGCACACTGTCCGCACTGCAAAGTGCAACACAACGTTAATGTACACATGTACTTGAAGACAAATTCCTGTCTTCACTCAGTGCTGTTCCTCTGTCAGGATAGAAAAAAGGTCCAGCTGTCACTCCAAAGCCAGCGTACAGTGATGGCACAAACACAGAACAAGCTTATGATTGAGTGCAGCATGTTTGACTTTTTACTCAGTTTGTAAAAGAGCAAGTCAAATAAGGACACTGGGAGGTAGCAATGCAGCATTTCTGAAGGAGCTTTAGTTCTCATCGAACTAAAGCTCTAAAGCATGCTTGCAACTCAGACCTGAGCAGACGGAGCACACGCAGAGAGAGGGAGCTGCTTTTGATTGGTAGACAGAGCTTCTGATGTCCCAGCAGTTCCACTGATAGACACCTTCTGGCTCATAGTATGAAGAAGAGAACTACAAAAGAACTAGATTGCTGCTTTTTAATGAGCAAATAATCAAATTCATTTTCTGTTTTGATATATTTTTATCTAGCTACATCTTCTACATCATCGCTGTCGTCAAGGTCCTCATCGTCACGTTGGTCAACAGTAACAATGCCCAACGACCACCTTCCTATGCTGTCTCCGAGAAGAAACCGCAGAACCTTCAGCCCTCACAGCAACCTGGCTAAGAGCATCTCCATTAGCAACATACCATCGTAAGACGTTACGACTAATTAACTTTGTTTCTGAAAATTCCCAGTTAGCTCTAAACGTCACGTGTGCACACCAGCACAAGTGACTGTCTCAGCACTGAGCACACATGCCGTCGCTCGATGTGCTCTTCACAGACGTGAAGACGGGTTTTTCTGTTCTTGTCACTAGAGCTAGTGGCAGCTCCAAAGGCGTCATATTGTTCTTGCGACTATGTGATGTATGTAGAAAGCAAAGCCATTAAAATCCTGCTCATCTTCATAGTTTTGTTCCTTCAGGTTAGACGATGCTGCACTCAAGCGCCTCAAAGTGCTGTCCCAGTCCACCGACTCTCTCCATCAGGGGATCAAAGTCAACGCTTCAACTGAGTCTCTCACTGATGAAGGTAGAACACAACACACACACAGACACACACACACACAGTTTAGATTCAAAGAATGATGGTTTGAGCTGCTGTGTGTGTGTGTGTGTGTGTGTGTGTGTGTGTGTAGGTACTGAGATCACTGAGACCCAGCTGATGGAGTTTGAAAATGACATTAAAGATCTGGCAGCTGATTCTTGGAGCGGTATGGTGGATAAGAAGTTCTTGAAGTCCCTGAAGAAAGATGAAGTGAAGAGACAAGATGTCATTTATGGTAAACTGTGCTGTGACTCAGTGGGGAGTGACAGACTGCTGTCGGGGCCAAACATGGAGATAAGAGTGTTTTCTCTGCACAGAGCTGTACCAGACGGAGGTTCACCATGTGAGGACTCTGAAGATTATGTCGGAAGTGTATCACAAAGGCCTTCAGAAGGAGCTGCAGCTTGATCTTCAAACTCTGAACAAGGTGATCAAAGAGCAATTTCACCTGTCGACACGCTTGGGTACACACAGTATAACGACCTGTCTGTCCAACATTTCCCTAGATTTTCCCTGTTTTGGACGATCTCTTGGAGTTCCACACAGAATTCCTCTCATTGCTCCTGGAGAGAAAAAGAAATGCATCAACCGAGAGACAGAAAAGCAACAACTTCCTCATCTGCAGCATTGGAGACATCTTAGTTAAACAGGTGAGACGAGGACACGAGGAGGGTGTATGCGTGTGTGTCAGTGGTAAATAAAGTTGAAATAAATCCATTTCTGGTGGCCCTTACACTCCTCGTGTGTGGAGTGTGTGCTGTTGTCTTTTAGTTAAGTTCAACTCTAAGATATCTGTTTGGAAATCAGGGGTGTCGTTTGGTAGTGTCAGTGGTTGCAGTAAAGATCATGGCAGTCTTTCCATTAAGTTGCAGTTCTTTTGAGTTAATGGAAGAACTACAATATTCACAGCATGTTATGGAAAGCGCTGAATTTGCTTCCACCTTAAATGTGTTTACTTTCTTTTTTGTGACTTCTTAAATTCAGTTTTCAGGCTGCAGCTCTGTCCGCATGACGAAAGTTTATGGCAAGTTTTGCAGTCGCCACAACGAAGCCGTCAGTCTGTACAAAGAACTGCACGCCAAAGATAAACGCTTCCAGGCTTTCGTCAAGGTCAGAGCTGCTCTCTGTACACGCAGCACATCAGAGGACCTCACCTGCACTGTCTGGGATCTATGCATGACCTCAGTATCTTTGTGTGCAGAGAACAATGAGCAGCAGTGTTGTGCGGCGGCTCAGCATCCCAGAGTGCATTTTGTTGGTGACTCAGAGGATCACCAAATATCCTGTTCTGATCCAGAGGATCCTTCAGCACACCAAAGGTAAGAATGAAGACCCGTGGCAGCATCCACGGAGTCAAGCGCATCTTTCATTGTTCTTCAAACGTCACCTAAAAACTGTGCGGTGACACTGTGTCCAACATCTTTCCTCAGAACATAATTCATCCTAAACTCTTTATGAATCTCTGAACAGAGTCAGATAAGGAGCACGGCTTGGTTTCTGACGCGCTGCGCCTTGTGAAGGAGCTGATTACGGCTGTGGATAATAAAGTCAACCAGCAGGAGAAGAAACAGCGCCTGAAGGAGGTGTACAGGTACTCAGTAGTGTCAGTGATGGAGTTTGCCTACTCCTGGATCAGCTGATCACGTGGGTCATCAGAGCAGTTCATTCCTCCAGACAGTCCCCTCCCTGCCCATTCTTAGCTCAGAGCGCTCCACAAACGCTCCCAAACCAACGCCTGAGGTATACGTTGCACAATGTCAACTGATGAACGCTGAATGATGAATAAGCTTAAAGGCTGGCTGATACCTGGGCTGTACCTTCCACATATATACCACTTTTCTAGTCGTGCTGACTGCTCAGAGCAGTGCTGATGTTCAGCCTGTGTTTTACTCTCTGCATGTAGTTTTAGATTTTTTCTGTAAGCTTAGCTTGCAGAAACAGCAGTGCTCTTAAATGTGCCTGAGTGTAAACCTTTAATGTCTCACTGCAGTCGCACTGACAGTAAGTCCATCATGAGGATGAAGAGTGGTCAGATGTTCGCTAAAGAGGACCTGATCAGAGGGAGGAAGCTGCTGCACGATGGAGCGCTGCAGCTGAAAAACTCTGCAGGAAGACTCAAAGGTTCATCACATTTGCATCTTTGGACCAAACCTGACGTGAATTTATTCAGGCTGGAGCTCGCTGTAATCTTCGTTTCTGTGTGTTGCAGAAGTCCACGCCATGCTCCTGACAGATGTGCTGGTCTTTCTTCAGGAAAAAGACCAGAAATATGTATTTGCCTCGTTGGTAAGTTTGGCACTCGGCACATACATAAGATCGTACCCAAGGATTCGGTTTGATTTGGAGCCTTTGTTCCCAGGACCAGCGCTCCACGGTCATCTCCTTACACAAACTCATTGTAAGAGAAGTGGCAAATGAGGAGCGAGGTCAGTCTCCTTCCTTCTCTCACATCTTTTGGGGATTTCAGTCACTGTGTGATTCAGTCTGGCTTTTAGTCAGCACGAACCACAATGGTTTCATCAAGGATTGCCTCGTGTCTCCTGCAGGTCTGTTTCTGATCACAGCTGGCACAGAAAAGCCAGAAATGGTGGAGGTGTTGGCCAGCAGCAAGGAGGAGCGCAACACATGGATGGCCATTATACAGGACGCTATGCAGTGCATGTGAGAATACACACACACACACACACACACACACACACACACAAAGATCACTGGCAGATGCACTTCAAGTCCTTTCTGCAGAAGTTTGTTCCTAACATGAAGGGTCAAAGGAAATAATATGTTTTACACAAGTGTAGTGGGTGCTCAGCACACAGCAGCGGTTAGCACGGTCTCCTCACAGCAGTAAAGTTTTCATTTGAATCCTGGCTGAAGCCTTTTAGTCTGCATGTTCCCCCTGTGCCTACGTGACTTCCTCCCACAGTCCAAGCATGCGCCTCAGCTGCACTGGTGATTTTTAGAGGCCGTGGGTGTGAGGTGGATAAACACAAAGTAAAGTGCTGTATGGATGTATGCTTTGATGTGGCTTGTAGGGGTGAGTAAGACTGCAAGTATGGCAGTCCGTTTACAGATGCTCCATTTCCAAAGTGTGGAGCTCACTTTGTGGATTATCTATTCAAAAAAGCAAAACTTTATTTCTTCCCTGCTGGAAGAAGTAGTGCTGCACAGTGTGAGGTCCCGTGGATAACACTGCCATCAAACTCTGTACATGATGTAGCATGGTGCATTAGACAAAGCTAAGCACAAGCACAGCTAAGTAATGCGAAAAAGGTCATTTAGGAAAAAAGAACAACATTTGACCAGTAAAGAAATCAAATACACGTTAAAACTGTTTGTGAAGCAGGAACAAAAAACGATTAATTAGAATAATGATGAAATTAAAGTGAGATCGCCAAATTAAAAGCAGTTTAAGATGAAATGACTGACAATAATAACTGAAACCACAAATTAAAACCTAACAAAGAAGTAGAAATAAAATCTTCAGTATGGCAGACCTCTGTGCAGAGCTTGTAGGGCCTTTAAAATAAGCTTTTCATTTTTTTATCTAGCAAAGGAGTTAGAGCTGCTCTGTTTCCAGCAGTGCACGTTTGAGCATTGTGAGCAATGTGGTACATTTATCTGAGCTGAAAGCAGAAGCTGGAGAGTATTCGAACATCACTCCAGGCCTTCATTTGTGTTCTGACAGGGAGAAAGATAAGGATGAGGGACTCCCAAGTGAGACGGAAGAAGACCGGAGACAACAGGAGAACAGAGCAAAGGAGATCCGCGGTGAGCAGCCGATGTTCCAGTTAACGTGCTGTAGTGGGCGGGGAGTCCTGTGTCATGTTGAGTGTGTTTGCATTTGTCCCTGATTCCAGAGCTTCTGCAGAGGAAGGATGAGCAGATTATCAGTTTATTGGAGGAGAAGATACACATCTTTAGAGAGCTGGGTAACTGCAGTCTGTCTCCAGAGGATGCTAACACATCGGTCATGGAGCGGATGTTGTTCAGAGCCACACCTGATAACGTCACCAAAGGAGAGCCGGTCATAAATGATGCTGTGAGAGAAGGTGAGCAGGCCTCTGAGGTTACTTCTCGTCATGTGCATCTCAGAGATGACGTGTTCAAACCTGTTCCTCTCTGTCAGTGGAGGCCCTGCATGCTTTGGTCAGCGGAGGTTTTGGTGCAGCGGCCTGCGGTCCAGTCTGCCTGCCCAGACGAGCGGAGACGTTTGGAGGCTTCGACAGTCATCAGATGAACAGCAGCAAGAGTAAGACACGAGCAGGTCATCAAAGATGTCAGGGCAGGTGTTCACGCTCCTGTGAGACCGACTCTGCCGTCATCACAGCAGCTGTCTTTATCATGACCAGCCTTTAAAAGCCTTCACCTCCTCTTACTGTCAGATGGAGAAAAGGAAGAGGGCGAGGAGTCAGTGGACCTCCGCAGGACTGAGTCCGACAGCGTGCTGAAGAAGGTAGGGATGTGTGTGTTTCACATAGGGTTATTCATCTCATTTAAGACGACTCATTTCTTTAATACGTTCCTGCAGGTTTTACTGTGATGAAAACGAAATGTGCCTAACTGATCAAATGGGAAGAGGCATGGCTGCTATAAACAGAGTGGGAAATCCATATGTAATAAAGAACAAGATCAGCGCAGGTATTAGTGTTATGAAGTTGAGTCGATAGTGTAGTTGATAGTGTCACACAGAGCAGACATCGAAGGCTGCTTCTCTGACGTCACAGTCATTTTTAAAAAATGGAAATATGTGCGATAAATGTTTTTGCACAGCACTTTACTTTTCCCCTGTGAGCCATCAGAGGTTCAGAACTTTACCATCCTCTGACTTCTGCTCGCTGCAGTCCACATCCTGATGTTACCTGACCAGCACTTTGCTAACATGTGCTAACATGAACTGTGTGTGTGTGCCTCAGGGAGCCACTGCCAGCCTGCAGACCCTGCTAAAGAGAAACAATGAAGTAAGTGGGCTCCTCATTCAAACACAAACAGACACACTAGTACTACTCCATCACTTTAGCTACATCACACAGGACTTTTGATAAGGACAGGACAAAGAATATCTTTTACAAGAAAAGCTTCAAAACTGCTTTGAAAGTGATGCTGAAAATATGGACGTGGCTGTTTCATAAGAATACAGTTTCTGCTTCCTTTCTGTGATGAGCTGCCGTCACTGAGAACTTTCCAGTCTAAGCTTGTCTTCACTGACTGCTGCAGCTGTCTGCAAAGCCACTTCTTCTCTTCCTGTTGTTTAATGGTGTGCTGCAAGCAATTGTAGGTCCAGTGCTGCCACCTGCTGGTGGTGTTTACACATTTTATCTTCTTAGACACCAGCAGAAGGACAGAAGTTGTTGCATAAACTGTTATTTTTTTCTTGACAACTGTGACCATCCCTAGCTCTTTCTACATGTCAGGAGGAAAATAAAGATGAACCCAGTCATGTGATGTACTGGAGGTCTTATTTGTATAAACAGCAGTTTGAGCTGTTTTTACTGACTCTGGTGTGATGGTGTGTTTCTCCAGCAGCTCCAGCGCAGTGTGACACGTCTCCATGAGCTGCTCATTTCCCTGCAGGTACACATACACGTTTACAGCAGAGGTCACGTTCAGGCTAAGTTTTCACTTTACATTGACCGTCTGTCCCTGCCTGCAGGCTGTGGTCATCCAGCAGGACTCATTTATTGAGGACCAGAGGCAAGCCCTGAGCAGCCAACTCAGCACCACCTCCTCCAGACAGTCCATCTCTTCCTCCTCCTCCTGCTCCTCGCTCTCATCCTCAACTAGCTCGCGCCCCTCCTCCCTCATTGAGCAGGAGAAGCACAGGAGTTTGGAGAGGCAGCGGCAGGAGGTGGCCAGCCTGCAGGTTAGCTCTCACTAATGCTGCTTTCACATGTTGAGTCATGGCTGCAGTGAGCTCATCGTTCCATTGTTTGACAGGAGTCATGTTTTCATCCAGCTTCTTGTGACATCACACTTGTGGTTTGTTTTAGAAACAGCAGGCTGCACATCAGGAAGAAAAGAGGAAACGAGAGAGAGAGTGGGAGCTGAAAGAGAGAGCTCTGGCAGATCGGGAGGAGAGGCTGGGGGAGGAAGAGGAGCAGACGAGGCGGAAATGTCGGGAGCTGACAGAAGAGATGCAGATGTTACAGAGGAGCAAAGAAGAGTACCAGAGAGACGTGGAGTGGCTGAGGGAGGCGCAGAGGAGGCTGGAGAGAGACGAGGAGGCTCTGAGGAGAGACAATCAGAAGGTGGACGCAAATAGAGAGCAGGTCAGAGGTCATGTATGATGAAGGCGCTGCTAGTCTGATGCACTCGAGCACTCGAGTGTCGTCACAGGCAGGCTGCTGTGTAGCTGTAGTCTCTGTGCACGTTCACCTAATCATCACAAATCAATCGGTAAACTACATGTCATGCACGCTGTAGTATTTTATGCACTGGATGTAGTGAATTCTGTTTTTCCATGTCTGCTTCCTCTTGCCATGCCAAGTTTTGGAGGTGGAGAGTGGAAATTTGGCATAATGACTCTCAGAGCCATGACAGAAGCTTCAAAAAGAAAACCATTTGGTGGAAATGAACCAATAGATATCCTTCACCGTCTCACTCGCATCTTCATGCATGATCTAATCATTTTTCCAGTTGGAGGAGCTTCAGAGGTACCAGCGCACTCCCTCCACAAACTCAGACGACTCCTTAAGGTTCCACAGCACCGGGTCCCTGGATCTGGATTTAAAAGAAATAGCAGAACAAGCCAAAGAGGTAAGAACAAGGTCCTGCTTTAAAACCGCGTTTGTGTTAGAGTTTAGGAAGCTGCTGCATGAGCCCTTGAATGACTAATATTGTGGGTGAACATCAGGTGGAGCTCTCATCCTCCGCCCCAACCAAAGAACCTTTCCTCCGCATTGGATCCAAGAGGATGAGCAAAAACTTCAACCCCTTCTCCTCTAAGGCTCAGGGAGCAGAGAAGGAGTCCCAGCTCCCCTCCAGACTACTTCAACTGACCAAATCCAAAGAGAAGAAGGAGAAAAAGAAGAAAGGAAAAGGAGGGAAGGACGCGCAGACAGGTACAGTCAGACCGACTCAAAGTGAAGACGGTCATGGGTGGAGTGGTGTTCTGTGTACTGGTATCCTGCTACATAACTCTTGTGTTTGTCTTTAGAAAACAAAGGTGCAGTGATGTTGGATTCTCCAAACGACAGTGACTTCTTCATCTGAGGAGTGAACTCCTAACACCCAGTCGCACAGCTGACAGTGTGTGTCTGTCTCTGTCTGCTTGGCCCCAGACATTGCCCCAGCCTTCCCGTCACACAGACTGTACCATCAAAGGTCAAAGGTCAGGCAGGGTAACACACTGACTTAGCTGAAGTCTTTCCCAAGGTAACAGACTGCTCTGGAGACTATCCTGCCCACGCTCCAATAATGCCAAACTGGATGGATTCAGAAGAGTTTGTCCAGCAGCAGGTCCGAACATCGACAGCACCTGAGCCTGGAAAAGCTTAACTTGACCAATCAGAAGCAAGATTTCTTTTAAGTGTTGCTGAAGCTAACTTTTGTTGCTTGTTGTGCACTCCTTACTTGTAGAACACACACACACACACACACACACACACACAGCAGGTTAAACCATCATTCATTGTGAATGAAACAGACCCCTTAAATTAAAAAAATCTGTGTTTATTTGATCTTGAGCTGAAGTGCCTTCCATGTGTCTGGTACATCACTGGCAGCAGGTATACGTGTAGCAGCAGTTAATCTGATTTGTAACAAAGTACTGATGAAATGTACATTATACAGAGCTGACCCTGCACTGTTTACATGTCAGTGTATCAAGCTTCCTGCTCATTTCATTGGTCCTTCATTTCTGCCCAAGCTATCATTTCAGACCCGGCAGCAACATATCTAAAGCATGCACTGACCCGGGCTCTCCCATCACAGTCACCAAACTCTTATACGCTGATTTAAATTCAACTTAAGAGTTTAATAACGAAACTGGACATTTTATTAGACAGATGGTTCACAAACCCAGCCAAGAGTGAAATCAAAGAAGGACAACTGTTATATTAGAACACTATATACCTCTGCATGTGGACAAGGGTCCACTCTAACCCCCATTTCTATTGCCTTTATTCACCCTCACAAAGCCCTGCCGGTGTGCATAACACACCCATCATACACTGGACACCCACAGGCTCGTGTGCTCCATCCACCTGTGTGGGGAATGACAGTCGAGGTCGAGACATTGCTTTACTTACTGCTGCACTCACTTGTTATGTTTACTCTACATGAAGCTTAATATTCCTATTCTTTTTAATAGAAGCACCTGACTCTTACTAAACAGCCCAATGCTGAAAAGTGGAACAAACACGTGAGAAGAAGACTTCTGTGATACACACCACTGGTTTGAATCTGCTTGTGTGCATTCCCCTGTGTTGACAGCTGCTTCTCGTCATGACAAAAATGGCGTGTCCTTGCTGAACTGCTCCTCTTTGAACAACAGATAACAGAGCCATTACGAGGAAGCCAGTCAAACATGCCAAAGAGAAGAGTCCATTAAATATTCATCACTTGTGCTTCTGTTTTTCTGCAGCGTTATGTTTCCAGATAACTGGATTCTCCCAGTGCATCACACAGGGAGGCTCGCTCAGGGCGTGTACATGATTATATGTAGCCTTCAGTGTCATATTTCCGAGGGCGGGGTTAATGCAGCAAAAGTGCTTTAGCTCTGCTCTAACCAGGTAGTACTCTAACCAAACAGCAGAGGTGAGAACAAAAGTTAACAAATAAAACCAACACTGAAAGACTGACACTCCTGCATTACACTTTCAAGCTCGTGGCGCTCCGTGACGCTGCTGTAGTGTCTGCTCACAGATAACAGAGGACAGAGATGGCAGCACGGGATGCTCGACAGTGACAGCACAGTGGTTTAACAGAGACGTGAGGAACTAGTCAGCAGTAAGATCAGGTATATAAACAATACATGCTTAATTGTGTAGTATTTTTACACCAGCAGCAGTCTGACCTTTGTTTACACGGTCTCTTTGAATAGAGGCTGACGAGATTTTGATGAGAGGCTAAAGAAGCATTTCTGCTAATATCCATTTCTTTTTAGTGCAGTAATTCAAAAACTGCAGAAATAGAGGTTTAAAAAATAGTTTTGCACTTGGATGGAAGTATGTGTGGGTGTAGTATATGAGCAGCAGGTAAATCACTGAGAAGAAACCATTAAGGATGATACATAACAAGCCCATTAATACATTAGTCATGTTTTTGTGTTGAGTGGCACAAATCATGTTAACCCTGTAAAGCCTGAACCAATCATTACTAGAAAATTACATTTATAAAACAAATGTAGTTCATTAAAACTACTGACAATTTTTCTTAAAGAACTTAAATATATATATATGTGGTTGTTTTTATTTAGGTTTTTTTTTTTACTATTTATTGTTGATTTGTTGAGCAAGTTATTTGTTTTTCGGCGGGGAGAAAGTCTCAAAGACTCATCTATCAAATATGAAACAGTTGGCATTATAGGGTTAAAGACACGTTTCACACTCACAACCAAACAGATGTTCACTGATGGATTTTAGTGGAGCAGACACTCCAGCACCACCCACCCACCACACAGCAGTACAGTGTTATCAGTGTACACTGATCCCTCAACAGACAAGCTCAGTCACTGACACTGCCTCTGTGTTGTTCCTGTGCACTAAAAATATTTCTAAAACCATTAAAAATTAAAGTTTCACCATCTTTCTCGCTGTGTGTGGGATCATCTTGAAAGGTTTTTGGAATAAAAACACGAGGTACAAAGTTTCTGTTTTATTTCCAAAGAAAAAAGATGGAGGCAGAGCAACACATTTTGTAAATATGTACAAATTTCAAGTGAGAGAAAAGCTTTATTTGTCTACTTTCTTCCTGATCTGGAAATATAATGTTCAATCCTAATAAATTACTATGCTATTGTCACTGTGTGGTTTTATGTACACGGATAGCATGTTAGCTGAGAGGAGACAGAGGAGTGAGAGCGATGTTGAGAAGCTCCTGGTATGCTGCATTGGTCAAAGTCCCTCCTCTCACAGGAGCATGTGGACCTGTGTTTCCACCGAGCTGTGTGACTGTAAATGAACTGGAATCATCTGTGCACCATTTCACTGAAAATCACCAGAAGATCACTTTGAGTGAAAATGGATTTTTATTTTGTTAGTTAACATTAGAACAGGAGCATTTTTACCACCATGTGCAAAGTGAAGTATTCAGTCATTGCCCCCTGACCAAGTTTCACAGCGAAACATTTTACTTGTGATGATGTTAAATCGTGTTAGCCTCTGTGTGTCCAGGGGCCCAGATGGGTCACCAGTGCAGGGCTGCCGTAGATGTTTATTCATTGAAAGTATTCGGTCTGATTGAGGTGCCCTTCCTATTCTGTGCTATACAAGGTACAGACGGGCTGAAAATCCTGCATTTGTTTTCTAGAATTTGTCCCATGAGCCCTCTTTGTCTATCAAACCCTTAGGCAACCTCCTTAGAAATAACTCTGTATTTAAGGGCTCTAATCTTGAAAGCACAGTGCACAAAATGTGTCTTTATACAGGCAGTTAACTACAGCACATCTGCATATTTGTATTTTAGAATCTCACCAATGTGGAACAGACAATGGTGCCTCCCAGGAAGAGAGTCCAGGTTGCAATAATGGGCCTGTGGTGCAGTCTGCGTGTTCTCTCTCATGTTCTCCTGAGACTGGTAAACATCCTGGATTAATGTTGTCCACATCAGGCCGAGAAGTATCCTTGGGCAAGATGCTGAACTCTGGCACACTGGGAGTGTGAGTGTGTGAACGTTAAATTAAAAGTAGGAAAAGCAGAAAAAAAGCATGTGTTGTGTTAGAGTGTGTTAGAGTTCAGGAAGTGTGAATGAGGCTTGTAGTAAGACAGTTTGAGTAGAAAAGCACGACAGCAGTACTGGTCCACTTACCATATTAATGTCCTCTGGCTCTAAGACCTGCCTCGGTAGCCAGAGATCTGACCTCTTATCCACTGGACACTGTGCCCCCCCACCCCCTGCAGTTGGGGCTCCATTAAAAAAAACCCACACAGAGCCCAGTCAGGCTGATCAATTCCTGTTTGTGGTCAGTGGTGTCCTCAGATTGTTTACATAAGTAAAAACAAGTTTGTTTTGTCAGACAAAGGTGAGGACAGCTCATGTCACTGCAGTATTTCTACCCCAGCTCTTAATTCAGACACTCTTTAGCAGCCACAAATGGGAGTTCACGTGCAGGTCCACCGGTCACAGTGATGGAGGTGAAAAGATGGAACAGAAAGGTAACATCAACAATTCAAGAAAAATGCGACAGACTCAAAAGTCTGAGTGCACACCACGCTTGTTGTTTTTAACAACCTCGGAGCTGCACGAGGTCTGTTTCTGAGGCAGTCACGGGCTGAGGTGGTGTTGAGTGATGGAGAGTGGAGAGGTAGTGGCATTTTCAAGAGAGCACATGTTGTGACAGCAAGGCTGGATGAAAGATCGCTTGGACTGCTGTAAGTACCTGTGAGGTAATGTGAGTGAGTTAATGAGCTGGACCTTAAGGAACGCATTTGAATGATCAAGCAGCAGTGGTGCCAGCACTCATGCTGATCTGGTAGGGTTTTTACCTACAACTTAAAGATCTATGATATACTGGTATGATATGGAGATTTGGTGCTGTTGTAAAATGGTGTTTTGTAATGGAGACCAGGGGCTACACAACATTATTCCATGCATGTATTTGTTCTTGAATGAAGATACATGAAAACCACATGTATATTACTTGAGATATTTTATGAAAAACCGCTGTATGTTGCATTCTGTAAGATGTGAAACTAGTGGTTAAACCCACAAACTCTTTATTGTTTGTGATCTTTTTGCAAGCAGAGAGTCAGCTGCTGCAGCCGTTAATGTGTCAGCTTCACTTTCCAGAGCCACAATGCCCATCTGTTTTCTAAATTGGAGCATGGGGTAGTCAGCGTAAGGCCATGTCTTTCACAATGTTTGTTTGCAAATCTTTAAACTGTCTATGTCAAAGTGAAACTGAGCGTTGCATAATCAACAGAAACATTTGCTTTTCAAAGACCAAGCGTTGAACCAGAGAGAGAAGAAGGAAACATGAGGTTTAAAAAAACCAAAACACAGCTGACCTGAGGCCTTATCCAGACAGCTTCAGGGTTAAGATAAGATAAGATAAGATAAGATAAGATAAGATAACTCTTTATTGTCATTGCACAGTCATACATAGTACAGTAGTACAATGAAATTGGAAAAACTGTCCTACGTCGGCACTACATATACACAACACGACACGATATGACACATCACAACGTAACAAACAACACAACACAGTATATTAACTTAGTATAAAAAAGAAGAATAAGTGTATGTGTATTGCACACTGTTATTATTGCACATTAATTATTATTGCACCTTGTTATAAATATAAATATTATTGTTATCGTTTTAAACATTGTTACCTCCCCCTAAAAAGTCCAGGGAGGTATCCAGTCAGGTCACTATTTACATTGATCAGGGCTATTGCCCTGTTGTAAAAGCTGTCCTTGAGTCTATTTGTTCGGGACCTCAGCAGCCTGAACCTCCTGCCAGACGGCAGCAGCTTAAACACCCGGTGTCCTGGGTGTGTGCAGTCCCGTAGGATGCTGCGTGCCCTCTTGAGACAGCGAGTGCTGTACAGGTCCTTCAGGGAGGGAAGAGGATGTCCAATGATTTTTTGGGCCATGTTGATGACCCTCTGGAGTGCCTTTCTGTGTGCTGTGGTGCAGCTGGAGAACCACACACCGATGCAATATGTCAGCACACTTTCAATGGAGCAGCGGTAGAAGACGGTCAGCAGCTCCTTCTTCAGGTCCATTTTTCTGAGGATTCTCAGAAAGTGGAGACGCTGTTGGGCCTTCTTTAAGACCGCAGAGGTGTTAGAGCTCCATTGGAGGTCTGTGTCTATGTGCACACCCAGAAACTTGAAACTGGAGACCCTTTCCACGCACTCCCCGTTGATGCTGACAGGCTGCAGCTCGGACTTCCTCCTTCTGAAGTCAACTACCAGTTCTTTTGTTTTGGTGGTATTGAGGTCCAGGTTGTTATCTGCACACCAATCTGACAGCCTCTGAACTTCAGCTCTGTATGCAGTCTCATCTCCCCCTGAGATGAGCCCCACCACAGTGGTATCATCTGCAAACTTGATGACTGTGTTGTCTGGGTGGGAACTAACACAGTCATGTGTGTACAGAGTGTACAGTAGGGGACTCAGTACACAGCCTTGTGGAGAGCCGGTGTTGAGGCTGAGGGCTGAGGAAAGATGAGGCCCCACTCTAACTCTCTGTACACGGTCTGAGAGGAAGTCTCTGATCCAGCGGCAGGTGGTGGAAGGAAGTCCAATTTCCAGCAGTTTATCTATTAGTCTGTCCGGGAGTATCGTATTGAAAGCAGAGCTAAAGTCAACAAAGAGCAGCCTGGCGTAACGGCCCTGCACTTCCAGGTGAGAGATGGTGGTGTGGAGCGTTGTAGCAATGGCATCTTCAGTTGATCTGTTAGCTCTGTATGCAAACTGGAGCGGGTCGAGTGTGGGTGGCAGGCAGGACATGATGTGACGTCGGACCAGTTTCTCGAAGCACTTCATTATAACAGGCGTTAGAGCAACTGGTCGGTAGTCGTTGAGGCTGCTAATGTTAGTACGCTTTGGCAGTGGGACAATTGTGGCTGACTTTAGGCACGGCGGGATGCAGGACTGGGACAGTGAAGTGTTGAAGATCTTAGTGAAGACCCCAGCCAGCTGGTCTGCACACTCTTTTAGGACCTTTGCGGTTACCCCATCTGGTCCGGTGGCCTTCCAGATGGGGTAGCCGCAGGTTACCCTGGGCTTCTATACTATGAAGGTGATTCACTTCTTCCGGGGCTACATCGCCATGGTAACTTTGCTGCTGTGAAGGTAACTTGCTCCGGAGCAGGTTAAGATCCAGATTAGAGATAAACAGGTATGAAATCTACTGACCAATCAGGTCTCCAGAAAGTAGCATCATGATCCCTGGAAGATCCCTCCGACCTCTGTGTGTGAACTCTACGGGGGATCTAAAGTTGTTTTTTTTTTAATCGTCTAATGTCTCTGTATTTCCCTGATGACCATCTATAATAAATAATTCGATTTTTGAGCGCAAAATTGTTTGTGACCCTAAAACATGACACCTACACAAATTTTCTGACCTGACATCTAATTTATACAAAGTTCAAATTCTGCTTTTATATTTAATCTTTACTCTCAAACCATAAACAGCAGCGACTCTGCAGCTGAGAGAGTAACACACATCACACCGTGAGCAGCAGGTGATGTTTCCGTTTAAAGTGGGCTCAGAGCACCATGTTTTCGCTGATGCTTGTATTCAGTCTGATGGATTCTCAGCCGAGGGACTATGTTTTCTGTGTGCAACTTGTTACTGACACCACTGGCACACTGCAGTGTTTCCACGTCTCCTCTAACGGGCTGTGAGACATGAGGCTCTAATGTTAAAATGAATCCAGTTTGAAGTTTCCCGGCTCTAATGGGAAGCCCTGGCAGTGCACGCAGTGATGAAACTGTTAACTGGAATGACAATATTTACTCTCTGCGCTAAATCACCAGATTAGTCATGTCTGTTTCTACTGTGTCGCTGTGATTTAAAGCCAGGGGATTGTTTTAAAATCAGAGTAGTGTCGACAAGCAGTTGTTGTGCTACCGTGTTTAAAGCCGCCTCTCTTTGTGTATGATTGCTCCTCGGGGGATTTCATTGGGGCTAGCTTTGTGGTTCGTACAACGACGTCAACGATGATTGGCCTGAGTAGCTGCCAGTCACGATAGACGCCGCTTCTAAAATCTCGCCGTGTGCAATGTTATTGGCTGAGAGTTTATCTCGAGGCTGGGGATTGGTGTTAGTAACGCCAGCAACGAGTCAGTCCAAAGTCATTGGTTGTTGGTTCCGCTGCAGTGTGAAGGCTTTCTTCCACAGCCAGTGAGACAGGCATCGGGCCAAGCTACCGAAGAAGAAGGAGAACAGGGAGAGGTAGTTGAGCTGCTGTGAAGGGAGTGTGATGTTTGTTCGTGAGCGGAGACATGAAACTTTACACTGCGTGGATTTAACCTGCAGCTGACGTGAACGTGAGTAGCAGAGCTTCCCTCTGGCACTGCTGTGGGAGCCAGACCGTGGAGTGAGTGGAGCTTTGTCAGTTATTGTTCTCACATTAGCGTCAGTGCTTCAGCGGCAGAGCTGTGTACGGTCAGCTTGCGAATTCGTACGGACTCGAAGTGTCTGTGTCATGTGAACGACAAGCTTTAAGACAAGTGTAGGCTGCTCGCAAAGGTTCTCAACAGCACCCAAGTTGGTGCATAGCAAAGCTAAATGGAAGCCATTTGGTCCAGTGCCATTCCAGCGGAACGCGATTTTTCCCATTTGAAATTCCGGACAGGTCTATGGAAGTGCATGTTCGGCTGCCCCACAGGCAGGAACCGGCCTAAGCACATCCACAGCCTGGAGCTGGTGGCCCACTGGGGGCATGTTCACTGACGGCTAACTAACTCCGTGGCCTCAGATCCTGCTGGACTAAAGTGAAAGTTTTCGTCTTCTGTCAGGGAGCTCTTTGTTTCTCGGAAGCTACAGCAGCTCTGCCACACTCTCTCAGGACCACGTTTGTCTTTTGTAACTATTCTCCGATTATGCAACACTGTTGCTCAATTATTTAACTTGTGATAAATGATTGAAGCAGGCTGAGCTGCACACATCTTTAATGTTAGCAGGTCCATGTCAGGCACCAGGGTCAGCAAACAGTCAGCATGAAAGATGTGAGTGCGCATGTGAAGACTTGGTTTCATGTTTCATGTATTTGATTGGTATAATTTGTGATATGTGATCTGTTTTTATTGATTAGCCTGTGAGAGTTAAGCGGCTGTATCAGACAACACTTTGAACTCTGAAACGTTGTATTTGTCTCTCTGACCTTAGAGACAGTTTGAGACAGAGGTGAGGGAGAGTAGATCTATTAGACAGAGGATGATGAAGATGGAGCTGCCAGGCAAGAGGAAGACCTCAGAGGTGGTTCGTGGATTTAGTGGAGAAGGATGTGCAGAGGGTTGTTGTGACAGAGGATAGTAGGTAGGGAGGGGAAAGATGGAGGAGCTGAAAGGAGAGAAGGAATGGTTCCTCACCTCACAATTGATTTTCTAGAAAATTATTTGGATATTTAAAAAACGTAAAGTTCAATAAATTTGACCTAAAGAGTTTCTTTTTCTCAGAGTTTGTAGCTTGTGTCTTACAGCTGACCCTTTTATCCTTTGTCTCTAAATCATCTGAGACGTAATGACTTCCTTTTTGTTCTAAGAAAAACTTTTTGGAAACCTTTGGCTTCTAATTTCTTCTTCAGTTTCTTGCACATAAAAATTCTGGGTGGGCCATGCTGATGTGGATGTCAGTCAGTATTTACTCACTAAGCACATTGAAGTTTTTGGTAAGTTGTTTAATAGGTTGTGCTTATATGTCAAAGCCATTTAACACACAGAGTTACTAACAAAGCCAAGCTTGGCTGCAGTGCAGAAGGAAACCTTTGATTGTCTTAACTCATAGCAGGCATGGACGTGTGCTTTTTACTTAGCTGTCCAGGTGGGTAAATGGGAATTTTAATAACCTAGAAATAACATGGACCCGGCCCCCAGGAGAGGGCTACTTGTTAGTGAATCACTTGCTCAATCAGACAGACACACAGAGTGGCTCAGGGCAACAGATTCAGCTATGTTAGTTATGGGTAAACAAGCTCAGGCCTACTGACTGCTCCTCTCTTTAAAGCACTCCATCTATTCAGCCTCTGTGTTGATATTCCACTGGTGAACGATACGTGTGTGCGTGCTGTAACACCGTGTGTGTAACAGCGTGTTTGTGTGGTGAGCTGTTTGAATGTGGAGTTGGTATGAGCCTTCTGTTGGGCACACATGCTGTTGCCTGGATTCAATACTGCCTTTACGTGTCCAAGAAACTCAGCTAATCTGGACACACCGACCCACATTCAGCACACTGCGCCTGTGCACAAAAACCCTTTCACCCATCCACGCTGGAGCCCCTGCAAAAACCTTCTGCACTTATAAAAACTGCACTTCACACTGTAAGGATCCATCTGCCCAAACATACACTCACCACTGCTTCATGTACCAGCAGTAACACGTAAATACCAGCATGCATCTGTTTTTAATGAGCGTGCAGTAGCGGGACCTCCACCTATTGTCTGAAATGCATTAACAGCTGGCTGCAGCTGCTCTACAGCTAGTGCATCGTTCTTTTTCTGGTACACCACTTAAGAAGATGAGAACCAATCACACTGTACGTATATTTTGCTCTCCCTCATCTCTCAAAGATGGACATAGAGCGAGTGCCCTGCCTCCTCTGGTGAAGGTCAAGTAAAGATGGGGTGAAAAGTTGAACAGAAAAGAACAAACACAGCAGCCCCCCATGGTTCAGTCATTTACAGAAGATTATGGTCCAAGAATTGCTTGTTCTGTTTAATAAACTCTGAGTTTCCATAACTGAGTCCTCTAAGTGTTAATGTAATATTAACATATAGCTGCTTTGTTAAGAAAACTCCTTCCCTCCGATTGCAATATATATGTATCACCAAATGTACTATCAAAAAGGATTTATAGTTGATAATGTTGCACAAGTACTGTGGCTCATTGTGTATATGTTTGAAACTGGTGATTAAGGTAAGAGTGGCGTCGACAAACAATCAGTTAACCCCTCCCTCCCTTCCTCGACAGGTGGTTGACTCGGGCTGAGCAGGCCGCCAAGCTTGCATTACTCTGGCAGATCCCTGGGCAGTTGGTGAGTGCACATTCATTTTTGTTTTAATACATTCTTCCTTCTAACCATTATCTCAGGCTGCAAAGTTGATCAAATTTTAATTTCAATCATGATTTTTATGTTCAAATAATTAATGAATGTGATCGAGGGGTGTTGGGTATGCACGCTCTGCCAGCAGAACACAGCTTTATGTGTCAGTCACAGCGCTTTCCTGCACTGCGGAGCCTGAGGTTACCTGAGTGCACCTGACTGCAGTGAGGTGCTCCATATCACAGACTGTCAAACAAGTCTCATGTCTGCCACAGCAGAAGACCACGAGCTCTGCACAGCAGAGCGTCACAAAATGCAGTATGATGAAAGCCAAACAATGCAGTGGTTGCTAAGGTGACTCACCAAACATGAGCTCGGATAAAGATTTACATCCATCATGCAGGTACGGATGGCATGGAGTGAAAGAAGCCTTCTAAGAGATGCACTGAATTTGGGTGAATAAAGAGGACCAGTTAATTTTTATGCAAGGATTTGTAAGTTAACAGGAAGGCAGCAGTGTCCTTTTACCTCACTAAGATCAAAAATAATCCTGATCCAATAACTAATCTCAGTACTGATCAACATAATCATTATTATCACCACCGCTGAAGCCTCAGCTCTAACTATGGTATTTTACTGCTTTGTTTTAAACAACGCCAAAGAAAACATCTACCTGTTAATCCTGTTGTTGATAGTACAATGCAGTATTAGGGCCGTATTAAGAAAAAAAATAGTGTTTATTCTTAGAATAAAGACAAAATGTTTAGATTAAAGTTGTTTTGAGTCAAACATCTGCCACAGAAAACACCCTGTGTAGATAAGTTAGTGAGACAGCTTGAATAGATATCTTCTTGTGTCTTAGTCTACAACATACACCTTCCCTACTGCATGAAGCTATAAGCATGAGCAACTTGAACTTGATCTGAACTTATTTCTGTTTTAGCACATAAACACAGCGTGGTGATAAGGACGAGAAGGTGCAGAAAGCTGCATCTGGTCAGAAGGTGGAAAAAAAACCCCACACAAACGTGGAGGAGTTGGTGGGATTTGTCCAAAATGAAATGGCTGCATTGGACAGATGCAACGATACAGATGCTTACAACCTCGAGCACGTTTGAAACGACTGTAATCTCCATATTTCAACTTTGTTCTCAAATATTACTTTAGGTTTAATCTTGAAAGTAACAATAATATATATTTTTTTCTTATTATGGCTCTAATATTCCTTCGTATAACAGGGATTCTTTAAAAACTTTATCAGTGGAATAATCAGAAACCACAAAAATATACAGCTGTGTGTGCCATATAGGGTAACAAAGATGAATTGCCTTTACTGTATGTTGACTGATGACAGCTAAATGTATAATCATCTCTCAAAGCCCCGCTCTGAGTCAGAAAAAAATCTTGTAACCTCAAATCCTAAAACCAAGTCAGAATCCGCCATCATCCCCTTGGAAGGTGTGTCAGAAACGGCCCTAATTACTGCGGCCCTCCCAAAGGGAGAGATTACAACACAGAAGCTCACGTGTGTGTGAGAGAGCTGTGCTGCGCTGCTGTGTTGTCCACAACATGCTTTGTTTGAATGTGCTAGCATTTCCATCCTTTGTTCATTCACAGCACACACTGGTCAAGTCTGCATGCACACACCCTGTCACTGAAGGGGTATGACTTTACTCTAAAACTCTGTGTCAGCAAATGTAGACACACGCGCACACACACAAGCAGCAATGGGGATGCTGACCCAGCATTCCTTCCAGTCTGGGCTGTCTACCTATTTTCCTGTGACTGGCTAACACAGCACCGCTGTAATAAGACCATCTTTAGCGCTTGGTTGTTTATCAGTCTGCAGTGAAATCGAGAGGAAATATTGTGTTCTATTTATTGAGTCTTACTTCATTAGGTGTTTAGAGTAACCCAGGGTGTCATGTCCATTGCTCTACTGGGAGACACTACAACAGTGTGACCTGAAGGAGGGAGAGAATATAAGTGTACATGGCACCAGGACACTATAGGTTGCAGGTCCAGTTTTGTAATCGGGTGAAGAGAGGAGCAGCTGTCAGTGAGTTGGAGCAGGTGGTTGAGGAGGATACTGGACAGGCATAATGTATAATGAGGAAGTGCTGGAAATATCTGACAGAGGATCTTCTATTCCCACCTCCAGCAGAACAGAATCCCTCAAAAGCAGCTCTGGCAAATCATCCGGTGACTGATGAGGTGGATAACTCGCCCGTTATGTATTAGTTGGTAGTAGTTTAACAGCTCCTTGTTAGCCGGGTCTCCAGGGTGGAGGAGGTTTGTCCTGAGATTAATTAAGGCCCTGGATGTTGAAATACTGATGTGATGTGGTGCAGTGCCTCTGGATTGGCTGACGGGGATGGTGTTAGCCACCCCTAAGGAGGAGTGACCTCCACAATCTAAAATGTGTTGCCCAAAGGCGAAAAAGACAATGCAGTTTGTGCTTTCACTGTTCACTTTGACCATTGTCACGTCACATTTGTGCCTCACTCTAGGACACCGGTCCCCAACCCCCGGGCAATGGACTGGTACCGGTCCGTGAGGCGTTTGGTACCGGGCCGCAAGAGTTGAGGCTCGGGTGGGAAATTTATGGTTTTCAGGGTTTCTATCGGTTTTTATTGTTACCTTTCTTTCCCTGGGTCTTTTCCCGTGTGTTATGAATAAATCTTCTTCTTCTACTGGTTTTATTTTGTTGTATTTATCTGCAACACCTTAAAGGCCCGTCCCTGAAAATATTGTGGGGCATAAACCAGTTGACATTTTTGTGTGTGTGTGTGTGTGTGTGTGTGTGCTTTATTCTATTAATGCATTTTGTACATGGTCCATATAAGAAATAAAAATGAAAAAAAAACAAGCCAGTCTAGGAGCACTCTGTCTGTCTGTCAAAGAACACACCTCAACATGTTTTGTTACTTTCCAGATATCTCAGAGTGCTGCTCATCTGCAGCTGTCACTTGTGCATAAGTGCATTTTATTAAACATGTTTTAATAGTTCCCCATACTGGTCCCATGAGCCTATCCTTTCAAACTTAAGAGACAGTTTGGAACATTTCCTCAACGCTCTGGGATCCTGGAGTGCACTCAGAGGAACTCATTCAGGGCACAGATACACTGTGTTGCCAAAGGTATTTGTTTGTCTGCCTTCACACGCATATGAACTTGAGTCGCATCCCATTCTTAATCCACAGGGTTTAACATGATGGCGGCTCACCCTCTGCAGCTATAACAGCTCCCACTCTTCTGGGAAGCCTCACAGCTTTGCACTGTGTTTATGGGAATATTTGACTATTCTACCAGAAACACCTTTGTGAGCTACTGATGAGGACGAGAAGGTCTGGCTCACAGTCTCCACCCTAATTCATCCCAAAGCTGTTCTGTTGTTGAGGTCAGGGCTCTGTGCAGGCCAGTCAAGTTCTTCCACATCAAACTCATGTCTTTATGGACCTTGCTTTGTTATAACACCACTAACAGCTGACTCTGGAGTATTTAGTAGCAAGGAAATTTCATGACTGGACTTGTTGCACAGGTGGCATCCTATCACGGTACCACGCTGGAATTCACTGAGCGTGAGCCATTCTTTCACAAATGTTTGTAGAAATAGTCTGTGGCCCTGAAAGTGATTGAAAGTTGGATGGGTGAGTGAATACTTTGGCAGTACAGTGTACCATTATGTGAACAGTGTTGTAAGAAATGTGATGTTATGGTTAGATCTTTAGTTCTTGTGTATTGTGCACAGAACTGTGACCACTTGCATACACGCATCTATACTGCTAATCCCAGCTGTGTCTACAGTGTGACAATATTTTCCTTTGTCTCCCCCTGTTTTTATTGCAGTATAGGAGAGAGTGCTGTAGGTACCAAGCAAAGCTGCCATGTCGGTGACTGTTCACGAAAATCGGAAATCCCGCACTAGCACAGGCTCCATGAACATCTCATTGTTCCACAAGCCTTCACATCCCGACAGTGTCCTGACTCATTTGAACACCATGAGAAAACAATGCATGTTTACTGATGTCACTCTGTGGGCCGGCGATCGCTCTTTCCCATGCCACAGGTAAACTCACGCTGGCAGTGTCTTTTTCGATGACCCCTTTTGTTTGTTTGTTTTCTAACTTGTGACTTTCACTCTGGCTCATCTGCTTTCGTGTTCTGCAGGGCTGTCCTGGCAGCATGTAGTCGTTACTTTGAAGCCATGTTTAGCGGAGGGCTGCGAGAAAGCCTGGACACTGACGTCAATTTCAGAGACAGTATACACCCCGAGGTACTACTCTGAATTTCTCTTTGAACAGTCAGGTTAGCGTGTTCTGGTGGCTCCTTGTTTTCAGTTCTTTTCATTAAAAAAACAAACAAACATATCTATATATAATCTTATATAGCTCTACCTCAGCACTCAAAGCACTTGCCTCATTCACCCATTCACACAAACACTATTTTTCTCTGCTTTTCCTGCACAAGTGCTTTCTATCTAACATTCACCCACATTCATACTGTGATGGATGCATCTGAGAGCAACTTGGGGTTAGTACCATGCCCAAGGATATTTAGCACACAGACTGGAGGAGCCAGGGATCGAGCCACCAACTTCCCACTTAGTAGATAACTTGCCCTACCTCCTGAGCTGCATCCAATAAAATGAACCTGAAGTCTGATGCTATTTCATTTTGTATGCCTTAAAGTTTAATCTTCAGAGGACAGGAAATATAAGTGTAAAGAAATATACATGTAAAGAGTTGAGGACAGAGAGGGTTGAACCACTTCATAGCAGGTCCTTTTTCTCTCACATTAAAGAAATCAGAAGGACAGCAGGCTTTCATCTGCACAATATGGTCAGAATCATGAGGGATCTCATAACCTCCTCTGCCACCTCACTGTGGACTGGCTCATTCCTTACTACTGGGCTGCTCTGAAAGCTTTTAGTGGCGCGGGGATGAGAAGGAGGGATCGTCTGTCTCCCATATTAGCTGGTCTTCACTGGCTCCTCAAGTCCAGAATTCACATTAAATTTCTTCCTCTTGCAAACCAATTTTGCAAGAGGAAGTGATCGGGGTTCATCATGTGTCACAGACCTTATAGTATCCTGATATCCCAGCAGAGCTTTGCTCTCAGACTGCAGGTTTACTTGTTTTTAGTTTCTAAAAGTGGAATGGGAGGCATGTCCTTCAGCTGTCAGGTATCGGCTGTCATCCTGTTTAGGTAATGGCTTCAGATTGTCCTTGTAATTTGATTTGGCTCAGGTGACACTGAAAAATTATTGTTACTCCAATTTATTAGGATTTAGTTTAGGAAGATTTCTAACTAGGATCAAAGTGTCTTTTCCAGGCTGAGGTTGCAGGCTCGCATTAAATGCTGCATGTATAGCACACATATGCAAACAGCCACAATACAAACTGCCTGCTTCCTCTTTTATTCCATTCTTTGATGTCTTAAAATTCACCACTACACGTGCCCACGTTTAGTGTGTTTTGGTCTTAGGCAGTGTGTCATGCTGTTATATGTCCTGTAATGTGCATGGCTAATTTTCCAATGGCCTACTTGGCTAGGTCCTGGAGCTTCTGTTGGACTTTGCCTACTCTTCCCGAGTGATCATAAATGAGGAGAACGCAGAGTCGTTGTTGGAGGCTGGCGACATGCTGCAGTTCCACGATATTCGGGATGCAGCAGCAGAGTTCTTAGAAAAAAACCTGCACGCGTCCAACTGCTTGGGAATGATGCTGTTATCAGATGCTCATCAGTGTAAAAGACTGTACGAGCTGTCGTGGAGGATGTGTCTGGTGCACTATGAGACGGTAAAGATGACTATTCTTGTTTTCTCTAAGTTTATTAAAAAATACTGAGTGAACAAATGAACATATGTTTCAGATTTGTGGGGGGATTGATCCTGTGGAATATTTTAATAATCTGAGATTGACACAATCAGGTAGTAGGAACTCAAGCGCAGAGCGGTTAGACGTCTCCAAAAGCAGTTTATTTACAGCACTAGTGCACGATGTATACAGTGAAGGGAAATCCAAACTCCAGGGAATCACGGGGAAGCTCTCTCACACTCGCTCACGTCTTCTTGCCCAAACTCACACGTTCACACGGCAGGGAGGAAAGTCTCTGTAGCAGAAGAAAGGGAAGTCACTCACAAAGCACAGGTTCACAGGAGCTGGGAGAATCACTAACGTACAATCATCCAGCGACGAGAGGATCTGTGTTCCAGCCTCAAATAGTGCTCCTAGGTGATGACAGCTGATTGTTGTCAGGTGTGTGGGCCAAGGGCGGAGCCCACAGTGAGCTCCGCCCAGGCAGAGAGGGAGAGAGAAAACCAAACAACACATGTAGCCTCGTGGGGCCGGCCGGGCAGGCACGGAGACCACGACAGAGATGGAGGATTTGTGGTTTTCATGCACTATAAACCAGAATGATCAAAATGGAAACGAAGGCTTAAAAGGTTTTACTTTATTCAACAAAGGAAAGTTTCCTTTGTTGAATAAAGTGTGTGTTTGTGTGAGAGAGCGTGTATGTTGCATATAACATAAGTATTTGTGCTTTCAGGTGAGAGAGTCTGAGGATTTCTACAGTCTGTCCAAAGACCAGCTACTGGAGCTGATTCTGAGTGACGAGCTGGAGATAGAAGATGAACAGGTGAGTGTCGTCACTCGCGGGGACTCTCCTGTGTCTGTGGCGTGTTTTTTCAGAGCGTACTGATTTGTGTTTGGAAGTGATTTTTCATCCAAATACCAACTAAACCGCAGAATGCTCCTCGTACAGTGTTGGAAGCCATAAATTGATGTTGGCTGGTAATTCGACTCATGGCAGGTTGTGTTTAACTCTGTGATGCGGTGGGTTCGATACGACTTGGAGGGTCGGCGTCTTCATTTGCCAGAGCTGCTGACAGGCATAAGGTTGGCTCTACTGCCCTCGGAGTGTCTGCTGGAGGCTGTAGCCTGTGAGGAGCTGATTATGGCTGACAAGAGGAGCAGGTAGGCTCATAAGACCAAGACCATGTAAACTTTGTGTCTTCTCTTTGTTTCATCTCACATTTAAGCTTTCGCATTCAATACTAGCTTTTCATATGAGGTGGGTCTGATTGAGTGAAAAGTGTTACAGGCCAAGAAGTTTCTTAGGCTTAAAAGGTAATAAAGATGTAAAAGAGGAGCCGACCACAAAAAACGAATGGAAGAGAGAAGACGATGGTTAATAACAATTAATGCAATAGTGGCATATACACACAAGTGAGTAGAGGAAAGGAGTGAAAGGAGGTAGAGTACATCATGGGGAGTCCCTCAGCAGTGTAGCTAAAGCATCTTCCCAGGGTCCGTTGATCCTGCCCTAATCGTTGGCTCTATCAGAAACAGAGTTTGAAGCCCAATCTTAAAACCGGGTTCGTGCACAGTTTTAAAATGATATTACTTTTCCATCACTTGAATACAAATTTTCTGAAATGTCTTCAAGTCCAAGCCAAAATCTTTTTTTGAAAGGTATTACACAGCTGAGCCCGAGCAGCCTCGCTGTGACTGTGACTCGATCATCACAGATCTGTGACACCCTGTGAGCTGGTGCCATGGACCAGCTGAACCCAGCTTCAATCAAAAATGGTGTTTCTCAAAAGTGACAGCAAATACTCTACCTTAGAATGAACCAAGAATGTCACCGATTCCTGCTTTTATTTAGTTATTCATTCAAACTGTATTTGATGGGGCGATACAGTTTAATATAGTTCTGATGCAGAGCATGAAACGGATGTCCTGCAGGGTGATTCCAGGTATCACAACCTGTCTGCATACAGGCTTCTACATCGATCAAGCAAAAACAAAACATTTCAGTATCACTTACATGAAACCACAGAGCAGATCATGTCGGACTCCATGACTGCTTCACAAGACTTGCTTGGATATAGATTCCCATGTATCTGTGTATCAGTTCAGTTTCCTTTTGTGTCATCTTTTTTTTTTGTTATTGTTACTATTTATATTTTTCAAATATTATTAACATATTCTTGAGAAATTATAGGAGTGTGAATTTAAACAGAAATTGGCTAGCAGCTGTGGTTTTGACAGACTCTCCACGCTTTCAGTAAGGATCAGCTGATGTGCTGACTGTCCTGCAGGTCCATAGTAGAAGAGGCAATGCAGTGTAAGAAGAAAATCCTTCAGAATGATGGAGTAGTGACGAGTCCTTGTGCCCGACCACGCAAGGCAGGACATACGCTACTTATACTCGGAGGCCAAACCTTCATGTGTGACAAGATATATCAGGTAAAAGGACCTTTCTGCTTGTGTGGTGTGATTTCATGTAATGCACTGTCAGTGTCACTTCTCTCAGGCTGATGTGAGTTGAACTGCTATGTTATTAACATGACATTTAACGGCTCTTTCATTTTAAGCTTACACTTACAGATCTACTAATTCATCCAGTATTTAATTGTTCTCCTGTGTAAAACATCTCTTCTGTCTCTGCTGTGATCTTCTCCATCTCGACCCCGACACAGTCGGGTTTTCACAACCAAAACTCTCCTTGCTGATTGACAAAGGAGCTTGCAAAGAAAAGCGTCTGGACTTCTTTAAGTTGCTTGAAGACGTTTCACCTCTCATCCGAGAAGCTTCTTCAGTTCTAAGGTCAAATGGTGGGGAGTCCCAGATATAAACCTAGTGGGAGTAACCCCCCACAGAGGGACAAAAGGACCCCCTGATGATCCTCTAATCGCCTGAGCCAAGGTGTGAAACTGGGTGTGGGTCCCAATCAGCCAGCGTTTCGGGTGAGTTCATTGTGAAACCTGGCCCCACCTTATCATGTGAATTCCTGGGATCAGATGAAACGTCTTCAAGTAACTTAAAGAAGTCCAGACGCTTTTCTTTGCAAGCTCCTTTGACTACGATGACCTGGATGACTGAGAACCTTCACAGACACCTTGCTGACTGAGTTTAATCTCAGCACAATGACTAATACTAATTTAATATATCAGTGGGGAAATGACATAAAAATTCCATTGATGTGAGTTATGAGGATTAACCTCATAATACATCGACATAACCCCGTCTTCGTGTCCTTTGTTAACATGGAAACAAATTCAGAGTGAATTTTAACTCCACTTTATTTAATTCACCAGTTCATCTTTATGTATTTCTCATCCTCTGTCTCATTTTATGTTGACTGCAACAACTGGGCCACTTCTGATGTTCACATATTTATGTCAAATCTATAGGTTGATCATAAAGCCAAGGAGATCATACCGAAGGCAGACCTTCCCAGCCCTAGAAAGGAGTTCAGTGCCTGCGCCATTGGTTGTAAGGTTTATGTGACAGGAGGTCGAGGATCAGAGAATGGAGTGTCTAAAGATGTCTGGATCTATGACACTGTCCATGAAGAGTGGTCTAAAGGAGCACCCATGCTAATAGCCAGGTATGCTGTTTGTTGCTTTATAGGAAATGCTGGATCAGAGCAAACGGCAATGTAGTAGTACTGTCCAATTTCTAGGGTAGTTTTGCAGTTAAATTTGCAGTGTAAATGGACATTTATTGGTCTAAATGTGTTGCCCAGAGCAAAGTGAGATTCTAGAGTTCTATATATTGTACTTGGCAATTGTTTAACAATAAGAAATTATCACAAAACAGACGTTGCTCTTGCCACTGAACCAGAAATCGCTTAGAAGGCAATTTTTCCTGCTGCAACGTTTATCTTTGTGAATCTGTGCTTCAGACTACGTTTCATTCACTTCACCCTATTATGTTTGAAAGGATTAAGAAGTGTTAGCATGACTGTAAACATGGCAGATATGTCATGAACTGTGGCAAATGCCAAGGCTTTCTAAGGAGCTCCAGGATAAAATGAGTTTTGGATGCAACTGAGATTAGTTCAAGTGCCACTGGTAGAAGTATAGTTTGTGTGGATAGACGCTGTGTATAGAAAAGTGTTTAAACTTACTTTAGCCATATAGTGGATTGCATTACAAAGTGCACCATCGCAAACCCATCACTGACAGAAGTTCACACAACATGCTGCTTCCCTTCCACAGGTTTGGCCATGGTTCAGCTGAGCTGGAGAACAGTCTGTATGTTGTTGGAGGGCATACAGCCATAGCTGGTGTCTTCCCTGCTTCACCATCTGTCTCTCTGAAACAGGTCTGAAAAGCAATGACTTCTACCTAAAGCTGAAATAAACAATTATTTATTTGTAACTGACAAGTGCAGAATTTATTTATTTTTTGACAATTTACGTATATTTATGTACAGTTTATTTGTTCTGTAAATTTCATAGCTAGCCACAAAAGTGAATATGCATTGACTTTGAACTGGCAGGAAGTTACAGAAAGTGGTACTTTGCACAAAAGTGCATTCTCTGTTAAAGTCTTACAGAATAGTTAAATTATAATAATAAATGACAGAGAGAAAATTGCACCTCGACAGGTGTTTAAAATAAAGCTTTATAGGCAATGTAAACATGTTTTATTGGGCAGGGTGGAGCGCAGGGTTGGGTGTATAGCAGGTCGTCCGTAACACTCCTGCCAAGTTTAAAGACTGTCAAGAAGAGTGAAGAACAGCTTTACCATGTGCACAGATTTCGCTGATGCTTGACCAGCAGCTCAGTTTGCATTTTACTGTTTTATGATCAAACTTTACAGGGACATGAAACTAAAGTGTTAAGTGTATCAAACGTCTTCACCAGGTGGAGCGGTATGACCCTCTCAATAACAAATGGACCATGATGGCTCCACTAAGAGATGGCGTCAGTAACGCTGCTGTGGTCTCTGCCAAACTCAAACTCTTTGTTTTTGGGGGGACCACCATACACAGAGACAAAGCCTCCAAGGTTGGTGCTCTTTGTTACTTACCTGCCTCTCTGAAGCATCTCTACCAATACTGTATGAATTTTATTGATTATACTTTTCTTTGAAAGACCAGTTATTGTTCTTTGTTTCAGTCATTGTGTAATAAAGATGTAAAAGAACAATACTACATTTAGTGTGAGTGGTGTGCTGTCGGCGATGGCACTGTAGCTGTATAATTCCCTGCTTGCTATTTTGTAGGTCCAGTGTTACGACCCCGTAGGAAACCGCTGGAACATCGCGGCCGAGTGCCCTCAGCCCTGGCGCTACACGGCAGCTGCTGTCTTGGGAAGCCAGATCTTTATCATGGGCGGCGACACAGAATTCACAGCTGCCTCTGCTTATCGCTTTGACTGTGAAGCCAATCAGTGGACTCGAGTGGGCGACATGACGTCCAAACGGATGAGCTGCCATGCCGTGGCCTCGGGAAATAAGCTTTATGTGGTTGGAGGTTATTTTGGGACGCAGCGGTGTAAAACACTGGACTGTTACGATCCCACGTCAGATAGTTGGAACTCCATCACCACTGTACCTTATTCACTGATCCCCACAGCCTTTGTCAGCACATGGAAACACCTGCCTGCCTAACTGTGAGGTACCAGGAGACACTCATCCCAGGTATGTTGAGGAATGTCTCAGTATGCCACACAAGTCACTGATTGTTACAGCAATCCACATTTGTTAACGTCAAAGTTACACTTCATAACTTCTTCACTGTGTGTGGTTTTTATCACAACTCGGGCTGTTCAGTCATAAACATACTATTCACCGCTAGATGTTACTTAGTCCTCCCACAGCTAGCCTGAATTGCCTTCAGGCTAGCTGAAAGTCCCTCTTCCCAGGTTTTGCTTCTGCAGCTGCCAAAGCCACAGGCCAGTCCTCCAACACCCATCTGCTACCTCAGGAGACCCTTGAGGTCAACCAAGCCTGGGAAGCCCATACCAGCCTCATTTATTCCCTCACTGGCACTGGCCACTAGTGGGTCTGTAGGTTACCACCACGACAGGCACAAATGATCAACAGGCTTTAGCTCTTGCCCACTGGTTTGATAGTGGAGGTCCTGAAAATGGCCATTTGGACCCCATGTCCCCAACTGCCCCCAGTATGCAAGATTTATCCAAAAAGACCTCACAGACAGGACCTCTGTTATTCACTTGGGTACCAGTTCTGTTTAGCAGCCTTCCCTGTTAGCTCATTCAACTCACCACTAAGTTGTGATCAGTTTATACGATTGCGTTTTATTTAGTTAGTGCCACTTCACAACAACTGTCCCCTCGAGCTTCTTTATATTGCAGGCTATAGACCTTAAACAAGAAGAGAAGAAAAATGTAACTTCCATATCTTACAGCACTGCTTCTTTCCTCACCCAAGTCCCAATATTATCGCTGACCTTTAGCCTAAGGTTCTGTGCTACCAGGCATATTTCTGAGCAAACCTCAAGCTCAAACCCCTGCTTAGCACAGAAGTGTAATAACACAGCAGACTCTGGTTTAGACGTTGCTGTTGCTCCAGTTTCTGCGTGGGCTCCAGCTCTATCATCATTACCCACCTGAGCACAGAGGTCTCCCAGGAGTGGAGTGCCGAGGTGGAACCTCTTCCACGATCCCTGTCAAAGACTCCAACAAGTCAGTGTTCTGAGAAGCTGTTCAGAGCCCTGCTCTCTCTAACTCATAGATGTTATTTTATATGTTGTAATAATGTTGGTGGTGGCTGCAGCTCAGGAGGTAGATCATCTACTAATTGGAAGGTTGGTGGTTCAATCCCTGGCTGCTCCAGTCTGCATGCCAAATCCTTGGGCAAGAGCTCAGTGTGTGAGCGTTAGATAGAAAACAATGATAACGATTGTAGTGCATCAATGTATGTTCCCCAACCTTGAATCAGTCTGGAAGAAACTTTATGACGTGCAAATACTTACAGGTTACATATATTTAAAAAGAACAAAAACAAAGAGAAACTGCAGTGTTGTGTGTACATTATGTGTACGTTTTTGTAAATACATTTTTCAGTTATTGGGGATCACAGGAATGTGATGATGTCATGTGTGAATAAGTGCTGATCAAAGTGACAGTAACTGACTATTTTGTCATACAATGAATATGTGTTTTGTTATTCATCTCTTTGCTGTTTATGAGCAGCTGTTTTGCTTTCTCACTAAATACAGTTACAGTATGTAATGAAGATAAAAAGATTTATGATAAATGAACACGTATGTGTGAATTTTCATACACGAGCAAAGCGAAGCAGCGCCACAGGCCAGAGTATAATGGTGGCAGTGCTAATATTGTTAAAAAATCAACTAAGTAAACAGGAAATGTAATGTTACCAAAACATTACAAACATTTGCAGATTAAAATCGTGTCCATTTTTTATTATAGACTTATGTGGGATAAATGATTTCCTGTATCTGTCCTTATAGCAGCCGCACTGATTCAGCGTGTTAGAGGGTGATGTGTGTCCTGTTTGTGGTCCATAACAGCCAACACAGAGCCAGCCTTCCTCATCATTTATTAAAATGATCACTTGTTGGTTTCACCAGCTCTGATGCTGCTGCCCCTGCACACCACAGCAGAGGACACTGTGCTCACCACAACCCACTGACAGGAAATCGCCAACACTATGCTGCACGTGTAGAAGGATGTTAGGAAACGGAGGCGGCTCATCCCTTTCTTGTATCCAGCCTCTGTGTTAGTTTTCCACTTGAGCCTCTCGGGACGTACACGGGGAGTGGATAGCTGTCCTCGATCACCATCTCCCTGGCCTTATTCAGGTTTAGAGGCACATGATTTTTCCCAGACCATTAAAGCACTTCTGATCTGCCCTCCATCTCCCACCCATCACTTATACAGTTAGCTGTATAGGCCTCTGAGTGATGTTTCAGTTCACACTGCAGTTTGGTCACAGTCCTGCTCCAGCCTCACACACCTCACTGCTGTTGTCTTCTCTGCCTGCAGGTGTCGACGCTGCCCCTCACATCAGTTTACAGTCGCACTGTTTCACTCAGGGTTGTAGAGAGTTAATCTAAGCGCAGTTTATTTAGATTGTTATTAAATAAATTATTGTTTGCATTGCTGGTCATAATAAGAGTGATGACAGCAGTTATATATCTAAGATGATGCTGTGTAATTGTTGAACAGCTGTGAATGACAATGACACCAGCCAGCAGGCTCCACACAACATTATGGTGGTGGTGTTAATGATGGTGAAGTTCCCATTATTATTATTATTATTAATAATAATAATAATAATAATAATAATAATAATAATAATAATAATAATAATAATAATAATAGCAGCAGCAGCAATGTCTGTGTATATGGAACCACATTAAAAGCAGCAGAACACAGTAGTGGCAAATATCATCACACAGATGAATATTTTTCTCTAATCATAAACCGATGGGCAACTTTTTAACGTTTTCTTGAATATGAAGTTAATAGTTTTGTTGCCTTCATGTTTTATTTCTGTTCTTTTCTTCCAGGAGGAGAAACTCTGAGAGTGGCCGAAGCGCCACACAGACCAAGCTTTCTGAAGACGAAGCAGCGTGTCACACACTCTGAAACAATGTGAGTGGTGTGGTTAAAAAACCCCACAGTGCACCACTCAGGTCTGAACACAGACAATTACAGTGCTTCCTGATGACATACAAACACAGAGACTGTGTGTGTGCGTGTGTTTCTTTAGTGTCTTATGAGTCAAACCATTCCAGTAAGAAATCAAACTAAGAGCTGCCATGTTTACTTAAGTCATTTTCCTCAGAAGTCCAGCAAAATGAAATGAAAGCAAAGAATATGTTCACTGCAGTATTGAATAGTCAATGATGTGATGGAGGTTTCTGGCTTTTGCAGTGCTAGGTTTTATTTGTTCATTTTTTTTTTTTTTTTTTTTTTCTTCGTAAGAGATTTTCCAGTTCATACAGAAACAGGTGCAGCGCAGGCCGAGTTTAGCCTGAATTATCCGGTGGTAAAGAATCATTTGCTAAAATGAAGTTGAATTACTCATGCTACTTTCTAAAAGTCCTCGTTGATGTCACAGCATTAGCAGCTCTCCACACACGATCTATTTATTCACCTCTGCAGCAGTGCAGCTCGTCACCAGAGGATGTGGACATGACTGCACAGCAAGCAGTCTGTGTGGTAGACTGTACAGAGCTGTGACGTCAAAGCGATTTACTCAGCACCAAGAAAATAAGCATCAAAGATCTACTTTTTGGGCTTGGATTCAGCTGTGATGGACACCTGGTTGATTAACATTTCAGAGTGCATTTGCAGTCCTCTGTATTTCCCGTGACATGATTACATTATGAATGAATGTGTGCAGCTGAGCAAGTTTTCAGTGGTTTGAAATCTGAGAAGCACAGCGGCCTTGTTGAGTATGTCCTGCAGACACGCTCACTGCCATTCAAACACTGCTCTGTATTTTCTCTGTAGCACCTAAAGACTTTTAATCTTCAACAGTGAGTTCGTGTGCGTGAGTGTGTGAATGAGTGATCAGTGTACAGTGTTTCCCCGTGCTCAAACTAACACAACAAATGAATGAACACGGTTTGTGACGCACACAGTTGCACCGCCGTTGCTATGTTGTACTGGCTCTGTCAGTGTACAGTGTTTACTAATGTCGGGAGCGTCTTTGCACTCGTCCTCTCTACAACTGTTCATGAAGACCTTGGATGGACCCTTCTGAGCTGCATTTGCTTGTTTTCCCAAGTTGGAATTAAACTGTATCTCAGAAGAAAGACTGAAGCATGCACCAGTGAATCTGGGAAATCTGAGGATGAACATGTTTCTTAAAGTGAGGTTTTCCAGATGATTTTGAAAAGTTTTTTAAGTGTGGTGCTGTCATGTTTTTACTGGTGATAATAAACACTGACTTACTTTTTAAACTGCACTGAGCTTTTGAACGTGCAGACGAGGATGACTGGTTTGTCTCTTTCGTTTTTAACACGTCGGGTGTCAGAAAAGGTGAATCTTTCCATCCCAGTATACACTGCATCCTTGACTAATGTGCACAGTAAAACACTTACTAGTGAACTCAGTTACAGGTAGACTGACTGTGTTTTCTGCAGGTACAGAGCAGGGACACTGATTCTGGTTGATTAAAAACCTCTCACCTGCACAGAGTACCGCAAAGACGACCATGAAGTCACAGGACAGCCCGTGCTTGCACTCCGACTAAATGACTAAATAAACCACAGCAATGTTTTCAAATTCACATTTAGCTAGTTTTACAGTTAAAGGCACACAAGCCAAGGATCAAATGACTTCTGAGTGCGTGTGACGTGCACACTCGTGCCAATACTAGATTTATCCTTGAAGTCAAAGAGTCACTCTTCCAGTGTCCTCAACAAAAATGAAAAAGTTAATTTGGGTCAGCACAGTCATTTTTCTGCCCTCCTCCCAAATGTACTTCCTATCGATGGAGTGAGAAAAGTGCCTCCCATGGTCATCTCATTGCCTGTTTTCATCACTCAGTCATCTTCTATGTGATCTAGAAGAAGTGCACCAATAATTATTACAAGGGTATTTGCTTTCGGTACGCTCAGTTCAACTGAGGTGTTTAAAAAGGTTTGTGTCTTTGCAGCAAAGTGAAAATGCTGAATGACCTCCTCCAAATGTGATTCCATCATTTTTGCCAGGACTGGTATTGCTGCTTAAAGAAAAACACAAAGTGTTGGTTTAATCAAACCAGCTGCTAACGCCTGTTAGCCACTGGAAAGTGTCTGGATCTGTATCTCTCATTAAATTAGTTAATTTTAATTAGGAACTAATTTCAAATGTAGCAGCAGACTCGTCACACCAGACAACATTTTTCCATGGACTGAGCTTCAGAGCAGACAGCAGAACTACAGCTAAACTATAAGGAGGTAAACTGCCTATTCACTGTCAGATACTGTGAGAGGAGTACTACATGCATCACTGAAATATGGCTGCACTCATACTTTCACATAGTACTTGGCTTATAACTTTTTGGCAGATAGAGACGTTGGTCTGAGTGCTCCAGAGAAAGGTGGAATTTCACTCTTTGTGATTGAAAAGCGGCTCAATCCTGAGCCCGGATGTTGATTGTCAGGATGCATCCAGAACTCTTTGGGTATTATTACCACTGAACCATCAACGTTGTGGGAAACGTCTTGTCTGGCTCTTGTACAGATGAGCCCTTCAACTTTTGCCTCACGTGTGATGAAGTTGCTGGAGAAACTAGCTGAAGGTTTAATAGAAACCTCAGCCCTCTGCAGTTCATATATCCCCTAAATTTAGGAGTGGATGAAGCAGTTATTTACCTGTTGAAGAGAGCTTACTCCTGTCTGCATAGTAACAGCTGATTATGTGAATCTGAAATCGATCGATCAACACAAACAAGTTGTGTTTGTGAAGTTTTAACTTGCCTTTGTGACAGGGTCAAGCAACAATACAGAGCCTAACTGCAGTGTGCACGGCTTTTGATAAGGAAGAATAAGAAGCACAGAATCATTTATAGAAATGTTATCTGCCCGCTGTGGTCACAGAGCACAATGAGAACGTTCTGTCCAAAAGATCGCTTCTGCAGTCGACTATCTCGTGTGTTCAAATTATTTAAAGACAATACGTGATATTTTTGTAGGACCCTATTCAGCCAAGTCAGCTTGACACAGAGAGGGGCAGAATCCTTTCCATCACATCACTGAGAATAACCTTTTTGATTTCTTCAGTGCATTTAACACAGTCCAGTCACTGCTGGATAGTGTACAGCATACAGGTCATTTACAGGAAATGTCAGTGACTACCTGACAGACACACTGGATTATGTGAGATTGGGCAGTGCTCCGTTTGATTTGGTGGTGTGTTGTTCCCCAGCAAGCAGCACAACGTGCCACTACTCTTGTCGTCTTCTCAAGACTGGGTCTGTGCAGCCCCTAATCTGCTTTCTATAATACTACTATGGAGAAGTACCTGATATAACTGCAATTCAAAAATGCAAACTATCTTTTTTTCACAATTTTATTTCAACGGTTTTAAAAACTTATTTTAAGTTTTCTTTCTGTAAATGGGAACTATTTCATTGCATATTGTGCTATTACAGATAAATATTTCACATGTGCGTTTTATTGTCAATTAACAATCAAGAACACTATACAAGGCAAATGTTTTGTTAAAATTTACAATTAAGAGATGGTTTCATGAGTGAAAGTACAGTTTACAGCAGGGTAAAAACACCGGTTACGCTCAAGAACAGGAAGGCCAGATTACTTTGCCAGAAACATCTAAAAGGGGCCTGCACAATTTTGGAAAACATTTTTTTGGGGACAGATGAAACCAGAATGAACTTGTATCAGAATGATGGAAGAGAAACAGGTAATGATCTGAAGCATGCCACATCATCTGTCAACATGTTATGTCAGCACCAAAAACAAAAAAACGAAAAAGACCAGTTAGACTCTCAAAGCAAAGTTTGTGTTACTTGATGAAGCATGTGTCCTTGGACCAAATCTATGACTGAGGTATTTTTTGGACCTCCACAGTGGCATCAGCAGTTGCACTGTGGGTTCTTGTAACCCAGCTGACTCTTTTCAATGTGGAGAAGTAGCTGCTCTACTCTGAGTCCCTCGCAAACGACTGAACTTCTCACCCTATCTCTGAGAGGCCATCCACCCTTTGGAGAAATCTCAAAAATACCAAAATGTTTTTAAGGCTCAAGTTGTGATTGGCCTGCTGACTTAAAATCCTCTCCTTGCACTGGCAGTGGTGTATCTGAGTTGTTTTAATGTTTTTAAAACCTCCGGCAAAATCAAAAAGCCCCATAGTCCTATGTTGTGTTACTGTGTAACTAACACACATTTTTAATCAGTAACTTTCACTGTTGCTTTTTAAGCTGTGGATTAAAAGACAGGAAAACTATAAACTATCACATATTTGATTGGCTGCTGCAAACTTCATTGGTTAAACAGACAGTACTGCCTCTACAGATAAATAAGGATGTGTGCAGACAGTACTTGTTAGAGAACTGAGAAGCAAACATGGACATGCAGAGCAATGTGGAAAAGAGGGAACACTGGAGTAAGAAAAGAGAATATATCCTGGCATCTGCTGGCAATGTGGTGGGCCTGGGCAATGTGTGGAGATTCCCTTACCTTTGCTACAAGAATGGTGGAGGTGAGTATGTACAGATGAGCATAACCCTCTGTTTGCCTGCGTGTGCTTTTCTTATATCTACAATGAATAAATGAGCAGGAAAGAAGAGAAAATCTTCATATTGTGGTAACAAATAAAATGTGTATTATGTGAAATTAACTCCAGATCAATGTGTTATATCAGCCATTCCCAAAGTCAACAGTGCTCCAGCCCACTTAAAAAAACAATCACACCGATCTTAGATCTTCACTCCAATTACAACAAACAAGAGAAAATGATTTATTTTTTTGGTCAAAAAACATGAACAACACAGGCTGTTGGTTATAATTTGCTAATGCTACCCAGTCATGTGGAAAGTGTCAGGGCCGATGTGTGAGCTACCTGCCACTGGGGAACAAACTTCAATATAAAAGCAGTAAATTTAGGTCAGAGTAACATAATGTTTGAGAACATCAATAATAATATGATGTCTTAACCCTTGCATGGTGTTCGGGTCTGTGAGACCCGTTTTCAGTTTTTTTCAAAAGAAAAATTAAACAATGAATTATTTTTTCAACCTGAAATTCATTGGCTTTGGCTTATTTTCTGTGAAGAACATAAATCCGAACTAATTTTCAATGACCTCATACTGTACCTCCCCCCACGCATTTACATTACATACAAGGTGTTCGGGTCCACTGGACCCAGGTCTAATAAAAGTGTTGAAAGTGTAGGTCCTGTGTTCCCACACTCTGTCCTCCTCCTTTCTGGTGCTGCTGATAGTGTTTTCTTCTCCTCCTGCTCCGCACAAAGTTGCAACATTGTTGAAAATTCAACTATCAACACCGTCTGCTCTTACATTCCCACACATTTTACCCTCTTTCTTGAGGGATCCAAATTTTATTTTCTTATACCCTGTCCCACCTGCAAATTAGGGGCATAATACTATAAATAAGACTTTGCCAGTGTGGTTCTTTATCACAACTGATCAAGATGGCAAAAGATTATCTGCTGCGAGGGCCGTCCAATTGATTTTGGAAGAGAGAGGAGCTTCTGATGATGATGTTGACAAAGAGGTTTCAGAATATTTCACAATTCTGAAAATTCAGAGTCTGACAGTGACTTTGAAGAAGAGGATGAGGTTGAGCACCATTTAGTAACAAAACAAAGACGAGTACCCCATCTGCAGCCAGCTCCAGGACCAGAACAAGCCCACCAGACAGCAAGTGAAGAAATATGGATGTCAATAACTGGTGAAATTGAATGGTCTTCTTGCCCAAGAAACGAGCCACCCTGCAGAGCTGTTACTGTGAT